TTACAATGCGTGTTAGGTTTATAGATGAAGTTTGTAAAATTACAATACATCTCAGTAGATTTCCTGAGACTAACCTAAGACTTACCAAAAAATCTAATAATTTTTTCTGACTAAAATTTTTAAAAAAATTTTCTAAAATTTCTAACAACAGAGAATTCATTAAAAATCAAATGATAAAAAAATTTCCAAGCGTATGTAACGAAAACTTTGAATAGACAATTCCACTCAGTACTTGTCATGGGCAATCTGGTCTTACGAGGTAATTTAATAAAACTACGGTAAGTATAAACAGTAATTTTTTCCTTCTCTCTCGTCAGTTATCCAATAGTCTTTTTTTTTTTCCTTTTCTATCCAGTTCATGAACTTCGTATTTTCTCCGGATTTTCTCGGCAGATAATCGAATGTCCAAAGTACTCCCAAGAGGATCTTGGGAGTTCATCCAAGCGGAAATTCCCCGTGACGTTAGTTTAAAGTCTTTTGTCAACTTCCTTTAACTCACTTTTGATGGGAATTGATAGACGGGATAACGAACGGTAGCAAATATAATTTATCGAAAAGGAAGAGGGTGAAATATTCTGTTTGAATATCCATCTATATGAGTGATTCTCTGTAAGGATGTTTTTTGCTGTCCCGGGTAATTTTTTATTAGAAAAATTGTTATTTTGTTACGAAAAAAAATTTGGTCGGACAATTTTGTACAGATTTAAGACGTCCTTACAGAGAATCATCCGTATACATAGATAATTCTAAGCACTTTCTAATAAATCGAGTACTGAAGTATCCGATAGCAATATATGAGGGATAAACGGATGTAGAGAGTCTGAAGCCCTTATTATGGCACACGGACATTTGTGGGATTCCATCTTTGGCATGTGAGTCGATTAATGTATCCGGCAATTCCAATAGAATTAATTCTCAAAGGATTTAACTCTCCATCAGAGCTTGAGAGTGGGAGCTGAGAGCTGAGAGCCAGAGGTTCTGTAATAATTCTATCGTCAGCTTGGCTGTCGTTTATTAAATTTATTACGTGCTAAATGCTGATTGTAGATTGTAGATGTGCCATTAATTGCGTCTGGATGAATCCACTACTTTGAACCATTATTCGCTTTAATTTAATCCAGCTCTCGGGAGGATACAGAGAGCTTTAACTTTCTCATTTCAATACCAAGTTTAAGGATTTTTAGTTGATTATTATTATTATTATTATTATTCGTTGGCGATAGCAATATCATTATCATTATCATGGATTTTGATATTGTTATCGTGAATATCATTATCGATAATAATATCATTATTAATGTCAATGATAATTTTTTAGAACGTCAATATCATTATCAATATTAATATCATTATCATTATCATGGATTTCGATATTGTTATCATGAATATCATTATCAATGAAAATATCATGAATATCATTATCAATAAAAATATCATGAATATCATTATTAATGTCAATGATAATTTTTTAGAACGTCAATATCATTATCAATATTAAAATCATTGTCATTATCATGAATTTTGATATTTTTATCATGAATAACATTATCGATAACAATATCATGAATATCATAATCGTTGACAATGTAATAAATATCAATATCGATGACAATACCACGAATATCACTATGAATATCAATGATAATTTTTTAGAACGTCAATATCATTACTATTATCATGGAATTTGATATTTTTCATCATGAATATCATTGTCGATGACAATATCATGAATATCATAATCGTTGAGAATGTAATAAATATCATTATCAACGACAATATGATGAATATCATAATCGAGAACAATGTCAGGAATATCAATATCGATTACAATATCATGAATATCACTATGAATATCAATGATAATTTTTTATAACGTCAATATCTTTATAATTATTATGGAATTTGATATTTTTATCATGAATATCATTATCGATAACAATATCATAAATATCATTATCAATGAAAATATTATGAATATCATAATCGATGACAATGTCTGGAATATTAGTATCGATGATGAATATCATGATGACAATATCATGAATATCATTATATTAAAATCATTATTATTATCATGGATTTTGATATTATTATCATGAAAATCATTATCAATAACAATATCATGAATATCATGAATAATAGCAATGATAATTTTTTATAACGTCAATGTCATTATCAATACTGAAATCATTATAATATCATGGATTACAATATTATTATCATGACGCCATTATCGATGACAATATCATGAATATCATTATCATTATCAAAATTATCAATTATCATGAATGAAAAATATTACCATCACTATCATAAATATCACCATCAATTATATGAATATCACTATTATAAATATCAATTTTGCTACTACAAATATTAATACCTCTATTACGTAGATATTCATCATAAATATCAATATCAATCTTATAAATATTACTATCATTATCGATTTCATGAATATCATCATCAATATCATGAATATCTTTATCGATATCACGAATATCGTTATCAATATCATAAATATCATTATTATCACCATGAATATCGTTATCAATATCACGAATATCATTATTATCATAATGAATATCATTATTATCATCATGAATATCATTATCAATATCATGAATATCATTATCAATATCATGAATATCATTATCAATATCATGAATATCATTATTATCATCATGAATATCAATAACGTTTATTATTTTATTATTATTATTGTATTAACAAATTAAAAAAAAGGAACATAAGGAAAATAAAAAAAAATATTTCAGTCTACAAGAAAAATTTTCCATTTACCCGTTTTTTTAAATAGTTAATTACAAGTATACATATTTTGATCTTTATCTACAAACAATACACATTATAATTATTATTATTTAATCAATAGAATCACTTAATTACCACATCATAATTATCATTACAATATCAGTATTAATGTTAACATTCATATGTACATTCAAGAGTGTAATTACAATTTATTGGTTTATTCAAGTACCTTTAAATAAACACAAATTATATCACATTAATAAAAAATAACATACAACAAAAGTTTTAATTATAGTTCAATCAATCAGTATCAGTAGTAATTATTATCATTAATTATTATTATTATTCTTATTATTATCATTATTTTTATTACTATTTTTATTATTATAAATTTTATTTTTTCAGTTAAATGCGCGAGTTTAAGACATAAATATTGCTCACGTTAATATTGCGCACTTGTAAATCTTATAGAAAAAAAGAAACAATATTTTTTTTTCGTTTTTGACTAGAATAATTATTAATTTAATATACATATGATAAAAAAGAAATAAACAAATAAATGCAAATGATCATTTACAAGATGAGAAAATGGAAATTATTTAATTAGTTTGATTTATGGAGATCATGGGTAACTTCATACCTTTTTGATCAAACAGTTTTCTATTTGTGTCATGAAACTGAACTGTCCAAATTAGACAATTTTTAAAGAATTATAAGATTACCAGTTATCATGAAAGTTATCGTGAATATCGTTATCAATATTAATGAAGTTATCGTGAATATTATTTTATCAATATCAACAGCACATATCATATCGTTACTATGACAATAACTAACTACGAATATCATTATCATGAATATCATTAACAATATCAATATCGTTATCCTGAAAATGATTGCCTATGAATATCATTATCATGAATATCATTATCATTATCATGAATATCAATATCATTGACAATATCATGAATATCAATATCATGAATATCAATATCATTGACAATATCATGAATATCAATATCATTGACAATATCCTGAATATCAATATCATTGACAATATCATGAATATCAACATCGTTAGTGTGAATCTTAATATCATTAATAATATCATGAAAATGATCGACTGTGAATATCATTATCATGAATATCATAAACAATATCAATATCTTTATCATGAACATGATTGAATGTGAATGTTATTATCATGAATATCAATATCATTGACAATATCATGAATATCAATATCATTGACAATATCATGAATATCAATACCATTGACAATATCATGAATATCAATTCATTGACAATATCATGAATTTTAATATCAATATCGTTACTATGGCAATAACTGACTACGAATATCATTATCATAAATATCATTAACAATATCAATATCTTTATCATGAACATATTTGACTATGAATATCATTATCATAAATGTCACTAACAATATCAATATCGTTATCCTGAAAATGATTGACTGTGAATATCATTATCATTAATATCAATATTGCCATCATGAATTTCAATAACGTCATAATGAATATCAATATCAGTGTTATCAATATCATTATCATTTTCATTGACTTCATTATCGATATGATCAACAATATTCGTATCGTTATCATGAATATCAACATCAAAATTGTTATCACTAATATCATTATCAATATCGATAACGTTATCACGACCACTTGCAGCCCTATTTCTGATTTTTTTTTCTTTTCACGATAATCCTCTGATTAATCGATTAATCACTTTGATCTATTACAAAAAAAGGTCATGTTTGGGCTCATTTTCTTCGTCTTTTTGCCAGGAATTCACTCCACTTTTTTATTTTCCTTAAAAAAATTTTCCTAGGAACTAAATCTCAATTAATCATTTTTTTTTTTTCAAATATACACTTTTCCATGCAAGAAACAAAATTTTTTTGTTTATTTGTCCCTAACTGTCTAATAGAATGTATATTAATTAAAACAGATGAATATTTGATTATTATTATAATTATTAAATTACATAATATTTTTTGTTAAAATATGTGCGGATATGTTATTTGCGAATTGATTGTCGTTGACATGGTCATTCATTAATTAATTAATAAATAGATGGATTGGTAATTTTGAAACTTAAATTATGGAGCTTTATGAGCTTAAATATAATGATAATAATTTATTATTTTTATTATTGATTATAAATATTAGCTATTGTTATTAATAGTCTATTAAAATTTAAATAGAGCTAACGATGGTATCACGATGGTGATTCTGTAATCTACCTAATTGACCGCCCTGACAACTGTCAGCGCTAGATCTATGACTTATATTACACTCAACGATAGACCCATTTCTTTTTTGTACAATTACTGAACGGAATTCTCCGCACTCGCTAGTCGATGGCTGGTTACCTCTTGCACGGGCTCCTTTTGTCAGGATGCGCTTGAATGCCTCCCGGAATTCGGTGTTGAAGATGCTATAGATTATCGGGTTAAAGGCCGAGTTACTGTATCCGAGCCAGGTTAATACCTGTAATCATTTATCATTATTAATATCACTATAAATCTTGTTAGGGTTATCATCAATATCATCAGCGGTGTCAAGGTCATGATGAATATCACCGTTAATACACTTATGAATATCATAATCAATATCATGATGAATATCATCATGAATATCAGGTGTAATATCACCATGAATATCACCACAGGTATTGCTATTCATTTAGATATCAATATCGTGAGTACTATTAAAAAAATTAATGACATGAATATCGATGATGAATATCATCAATCATCATGAATATCGATGATGAATATCGATTATGAATATCATCATGAATATCACTATGAATATCAAGACGAATATCACCATGAATATCAAGACGAATATCACCATGAATACCATGAATGATATCATCATAAATATAGCTATCAATTTAAAAATCAATATCGCCATGAATATCATCATAAATATCATGATGAGTATCATCATAAATATCACGATGAATATCATCATAAATATCATGATGAATATCATCATAAATATCATGATGAATATCATCACAAATATCATTATTAATATCATGATGGATATTATTAATAATATGATGAATATCATTAATAATATCGCCAGGAATATCGTTATCAATGTATATCAATATGATGAGTACTATCACAAATGACATGATGAATATCATGATCTATATCGAAGCCATGATGAATATCATGATCAAATTAATGACATAATGAATATCACCAGAAATATCAATATCACGAATATCACTGTCAATGTGAACATATTGAATATCAACATTATTAATGATAAATATCACTATTCATATTGACGTCATCATGAATATCATCAATATCATTAGAAATACAGATATTATGTCGATATATCAACAAAATAAATTTTTTCATAAAATAAATGAAAGAGAATAATGATAATAAAAATTACCTGAAACGCTCGATCTGGTATACAAGTTTTGCAAAATGATGCGACGATATTGACACAAAAAAAAGGTACCCAGCATATCAAAAAAACTCCCATAATAACACCGACAGTGATGGCGGCCTTGTGATCGGAAACGTGATAAGGTGAGGTGGGCTTCGTTTTAGCTGGAGGCTTATTTTTAGCCGGTTCCTGGTGTTGCAATTTATTTCTTGTGCTTTTAGCACGAAAACTTTTTCCTAATGATGGTTGAGGCAGCTTCGTTACCGCCCGTATACTTTTAACATGTTTCTGAGCGTAACAGTATAGCCGACAATATATGCTGACCATCACCACACATGGCACGTAAAATGATATGCAGGACGAAAGCACCGCGTACGTGGGCGATAAGTCTAGCGCACAGGTTGGATATTCCTGTAAATAAAAATAATAAAACACTTTTAGCTTTTTGTTTTTTATTCATTCGAATTTTAAATTTAATTCCGACTTTTCTCTTATTTTGTATTCTAGTTTATGTAAATCAATTCTACTGGATAGTATGTTTGGGAATAATTAAATCGACTGTTATTTTAGTTAAAAAATCATTGTATCAACTTTAGTGACATGAATATCATCATCAATATTGATGTCATAATAAATATCACTTATTAATGTGATCAATATCATTGTCATAAATGTCATGATTTTTATAAAAATTAATTTTATGATAAATGCTACAGTAAATAGTAATGTCATGATGAATATCAGTATGAATATCGATATCATGATAGATATTAGTATCAATATCAATGTCATGATGAATATCATATCATGGTTCATGGTCATGATAAATATCATTATTATTGCTAGGTTCATATTGAATATCATAGTCAACATTAATATCATGATGATATTCATCATGAGCATCGATTTTATGATGATATTTATCATGAGTATCGATTTAATGATGAATATCATAATAAATATCACAGTCATAGTTAAGTTTATGATGAATATTATTGTCAAAATTAATGTAATGATAACTATTATCGAGGGTAATGGTTTTATGATGAATATCATGATAAATATTATTACTCCCATGTTTATATAAAATATTATTCTCAACATTAAGGTCATGATGATATTCAAAATGAGTATCGATTTTATGATGAATATTAATGTCATGATGAATATCACGATAAATATTACAGTCATGGTAAATTTCATGTTGAAAACCATTTTCAAAATTAATGCCATGATGAATATCAATGTCATGATAAATATCACAGTCATAGTTAAGTTCATGTTGAATATCATTGTCAAAATTAATGTCATGATGAATATCAGAGTCATGATAAATATCAATGTCATGATGAATATCATCATAAATATCAATGTAATGATGAATATCATGATAAATATCACTGTCATAATGAATATCATGATAAATATCACTGTCATGATTAATATCATGATAAATATCACTGTCATAGTTATGTTTGTGCTGAATATCATTGTCAACATTAACGTCATGATGAATATCGGTTTTATGATGAATATCATGTCATGATGAAAATTTTTGTCATTATTAATATTGTAATAAATATTATTATCTACATCACTATTAATATCGAGTTTATGATGCATGATGAATATCATTATCTTTATAAATCTACTTACTTGGAGACCATCGTTGTAGGTAGGAGATGAATTTTTGGAATCCTGGCTTTTGTGAAGCCCGAGACTGATAGGAACGAAGGATACAGTGCTAGCGAGAAGCCAGACAACAGCAATGCTCCCGACCGCGACTCGTCTAGTCACCCACCGGCCGTACCTTGAATTAAACGCACAATAGCTTTTAATTAATTTTCCAAACATGGATCGATTACATTGAGAGTTAAATTGAGTTATCCTGGATAGAGAATAGAGAATCGAGGATGGGGCAGGAGCAGAACGCCGAGTGATAATTTTCAAACTTAATCGAATTCATTATTTTAAAAATTAACAAAACAGTTACCTCAAGGGGTCCTTGATATGGATATACCGATCCAGCGAAATCGCACAGAGGTTCAGTATCGATGCAGTGCTGCACATCACGTCGAACGCGATCCAAGTATCGCAAAAGCTCGGCCCGAACATCCAGTAACCCAGGAGATCGTTAACTCCCGCGAAGGTCATCACCAGGCAGCCGACAAATAGGTCCGCGATCGCTAATGAGGCCAGAAATAAATTTCCTATTCTTCGCAGCCCTCTGTCGGTGTATATTGCAACACATACCAATACGTTTCCCGCTACTGAGAGAAATATCAAGACGAACAGCAGAAAACCTGGAAAATTTTTAATTAGTTGTAAAATTTTTTTTTTAACCATACCATGATATAATATAAATCTTTATTCACCCGAAAATAAATTGATATACTTAGAAGGTTTTTTTTTGCTGGAAAATTGAATTTTTTCCGAGGATTAATAGATGTATGTTATTTTCAAGAGATTGTTTCTACATGGTCAAGAGTAATTAATTTTTAAGATATATAGTTCCGAAGGATAAAGGACATGGGAGAGAAAATAATTACCCTGCGGTTTTTGTTTTTTTGCAGTATATTAATTAATTTTTTTTTGTTTATTTAAAAATAGACGAGGTCGTTACATGCTGAACTTTTTGGGAAATAAAAAAACTATTCTTATTTATGCTCAAGAAAATTCGGATTTAATTTATAAAGAAATTTTAATTTTCTTAAATTTATGGGAAAACTTTAGATAGTTTTAATTTTATTGTTCTTCTTTATGGAAATTCATGCGCTTGCAGTTTATTTTATTTTATACGGAATTTAATGAAAAGAAGTTAGAATTGAAAGAGTTGGTGAATTTTAATTGTTTTCTGTTTTAGTGAAATTAATTTGAAGAAATTTTAGCTTCATTTTATTTATAGAAAAAAAAAATTGTAAATTAAAAAAAATTATAATAATAATTGTGTATAATTATATACAGTTAAATAAGAATTTCATGAAATTATGTTTTATTGAAATAAATTGCAAGGTTATATAAAATTATATGATATTATATACAATGAAAAAGAATATATATAAGGATGTGTATAATTATATGAAGTAGTGAATAATTATATGAAGTTTGAAGTTATATAAAAATTTATAAAGAAGTACATGAAGTTTTAAATTATTAATAATATTATTTATTAATAATGATATAATTATATCAAGTTATCGATAATTATATAAAATTTTATGAAATCAAACAGATTCTTATAGAATTATATCCAGTTATGATCATTATTGTTAATAAATTTAATGAAATGGAAATGTATGAAATTCTATAAAAATATATGAAGTTGTGTAAAATTATATGAAGTTCTATAAAATAAAATAAATTTAATAAACTCTTATGAAGTTATATTAGTAACTATAAATATGTAAAATTATATGAAATTATATAAAGTTGTGTATAATTATATGAAGTTTTATAAAATTAAAAGGAATTGAATAAATTTTCATGAAGTTATGGTAAACACTATAAAAATGTCAAATTATATGACATAATATGAAGTTGTGCATAATTATATGAACTTTTATGAAATCATATAAAGTAGTTTATAATTATATGAAGTTCTATGAAATTAAAGGAATTGAATGAATTCTTATAAAGTTATGTTACTGACTATAAGATATCAAATTACATGAAGTTGTATATAATTATATGAAGTTATATAAAATCATATAGAGTTGTAGATAATTATATGAAGTTCAATAAAATTAGAGGAATTGAATAAATTCTTACGAAGTTACGTTAATGATTATAAATACGTCAAATTATATGAAGTTGTACATAATTATATGAAGTAGTGTATAATTACATGAAGTTTTGTCAAATTACAGAAATTAAATAAATTCTTATGAAGTTATAATAGTGACTATAAAGATGATAAACTATATAAAAAGTTGTGTATAATTATATAAATTTTATAAAATTATATGAAGTTGTATATGATTTATGAAGTTTTATGAAGTCATATAGAAGTAGTGTATAATTATATCATGATTTAATCAAAATTAAAGAAATTGAATAAATTCTTATGTTAAATACTATAAGTTATGTGAAATTATATTAAGTTATATAAAGTTATATGAAGTAGTGTATAATTATATGAAGTTATATAAAATTAAAAAGAATTAAATAAATTCTTATGAAGTTATGTAAGTGGCTATAAATATGTCAAATTATATGAAGTTGTGTATAATTATATAAAGTAATATGAAGTTGTGTATAATTATATGAAGTTTCATGAAATTAAAAGGAATTCAATAAAAATTTCTCTTATGTGTTGATAACTATTAAAGCGAAATCAAAATTATATGAAGTTACATAAAATTATGTATAATTATATGTCTCATAAAATTTAAAAAAAATTTTACAATATTTTATGAAGTCATTCCAATTACTACAAAGTTGTCAAATAATATGAAATTATTGAAAGTCGTAAATTTTTATTTGAAGTTGTAATGTAAAATTTTATAAAGTAATATAATTTTATTCGAAGTTTTTAATCTCTATGGAATTATATAACGTCCATAGAAGTATATAAAATTTAATGAAGTTATTATATATATATATTATTTTTGTTTGATAATTTAAAAATAAAAGAAAATAACAACGTAACAGAATAATCATCATTAAAATATGACTGAGTACTAAAAATCTCAAGTATCATAAAAAATAAAAATAACGTTATACTCTCATTGAAATATAAATGAAATATTACCGACGAATAACACAGAGAGTAGAGATAATGCGTCCTCAGGCAATTCCTCTTCTTCATCTTCTGTCAGGTTGCTCTGAAACAGAAAAAACGACCCGAGTAAATAAATAAATGTATAAACAAGCACAAATAATATTATTTATTATTCGGATTTTTCCTCGGGTCATTTTCATTCGATTAATTTCATTTTATCGCAATCTAAATAATAAACATAACTGTCCATTGTGAAAAAAATTGTACATGTTGATTTTTACATTAGTAATATTTTTAACGTCGACAAAAAAAATCAAATTGTCCTTTATATTTTTTCACAATTACCCGACAATAAAAGTAAACATGAAAAATACGTCGTATCTGAAGATGAATCTTTTTACTTTCCGAGTACAGTGTAACTTTATCTAATTTAACGTTGTGCCGTTTTAATTTGCCGGGGGCGGTACAGATCGCTATTCATTTTCTCCTGCTTTATTAACTATGCACTTATTTTATTTTATTTTCTACTCAACTTCGTGTAGTCACGTAACAATATAAAAGAATAAAAAAATCACAATAAGATACAGGGAAAGAAAATTGCAGGAAAAATTACAATTGTCGGTTTGTAATCCAAGAAAAATTATTTTTGAGAAAAAAGAAGACAAGAATTTAAATTGTTGGAAATTTTTAACAAAAAAATTTTTATAATAAAAATTCATGCTATATTTTAGTAAAATAAATTATTCTTAAAAAATTTTAATGAATAAATCAATGTAGACAAAAAGCAATAAATAAAAAGCGCACTCTATTCAGCTAAGCGTGACATGGATAGGTAGATTTATTTAACGAACATAGAATAATTAATAATAAATGACAAAATTAAAAAAATTTTAAAGCCACTGAAGAAATTAAAAAATAATTCAAAAATTAACGAATTATAGCTTAAATTGCGGTTGACAAATTGTAAGAAGATAAAAGCAAAAATGTTTATTGATAAATTTTTCGAGACAAAATAAGCGCGCAGTAGCCTATCGGATCCGGCCCTTGCTACCAAAGCATTGGACCGGGTTCGAATCTGACGTACACCAATGAATATTTTCAATATTTAAGTGTATTATTCTGCTCAGCCCAAGAAATACAAACGAGTTCCAATCTCAAAAGTGTACCCCCTACCGTAGTCGCTCATGACCTTAGTAGTTTATGCGACTTTAAACAAATTAAAAAAAAAAAATAAATTATCAAAAGTGGACAAATGATAGCTTAAATAAAAGACAATTAAGAGAACTTTGAAATAAAATACTTTTGAACAATCTTTGATGGTAAAATACAAAGAAAAAAAAATTAGAAAAACGGTAGACCCTGAAGGCCATCCGTGCAACTTCCCGCTAATTCCATACCTAGGTGCATAAAACTGCAATAATAACGTTTTTGAGCTCTTCGAGCTCAAAAATACAATTTATGTGTTATTTTGAGCTCTTGGAGCTCAAAAGTCTGATGGAAGTATCACAGAACAATATTTTTAAAATTTTCAAACCGCACTAACTTTTGAATGAATCAACCGATTTTCACGCGGTTGGCAGTATTTGACGCAATTTTTTTAGTTTCATGAAAAATCTTCAAGTTTGAATTGATAAAACTAGGAAATTTGGAGTAATTCCAAAAAAAAAACTTTTTTTTTGTTTTCTTTCGTTCATGATATTTCTTGAACGAATTGACCAATGTTTGACCGGCTTGACGGCAATCGACGTAATTTTTTCATGCTAATAGCTGATTAATTTTTGAAATCGATCAGTGCAGCCGTTTCAAAGTTATTCCAAAAAATGTCGGAGTTATGTTAAAAAAAACACTTGTTTCCAAATATTTTATCGAGGATATCTCTCGAACCAATCAACCGATTTCCACGTTTTTGTCGGCGATCGACGCGGTTTTTTAAGCTCTAAAATTATTCTATATCATCAAAAACAATCCGAGAAGAAATGACGAAGTTATATCAAAAAAATACTTTTTTCGGTTTTCTTTCGTTCACAATATCTCTCGAACGAATCAACCGATTTTGACCAGATTAGCGACGATCGGCGTGGTTTTTCAAGCTTAAGGGCGGATTAGTTTTTGAAGTTGATCGATAGAGCCGTTTAAAAGATATTCCAAAAAAAACCACTTTCAAAAATGATTTTTTTCTTATTTTTTTTGAGATTTTTCAAAATTTCTTAAAATCTATCAGTCCGAATCGGTTCAAATTCTCAGGAAATCTAAGTTTGAGGGAACTCTTTAGAACGCCGTTTAGTACGTTCCAATCGGTTCAGTCGTTCAAAAGTTATAAGCGAGTCACATAGTCACACACACACACACACACCCACCTTATTGTGGTGGGCCTTAAACTTCGTATAAATACTGTGGTGGGGGTAAAACGTTGTATAGTGCGTAGCTTATACAAATATTGCTTTAGTACCGTAATGCAACCACGTCAGACATGCTTTTTTTTCCATGCACTCAATTCTACGCCAAAAATAATTAACCTCTGCAATAGAGACGCGGAAATAAAAACAGAGAGCAAAATCAAAGGAAGTAAATGAAAAACACGAATTGATTAAACAAAGAAAAATGAAAGAACAAGCTTGAGGGGCCGGGGAAGAGGAAGAGATCAAATGAAAACAAAACAGCTCCGTGATTCTCTACAGTTGGTTCAACAAATTTACGCGCGCGCATAAAACCATGGGGATTTAAGCGACCAGTGAAGAGGGGCTGAGGTGACAGGGGAGTAGGATGAGAAAGCTCTCAATTCTCTTTCTCTCCACGTCCTGGTAATTCTTTATGTATTCTATAAACATGTTTCATCTTTGACTTAACAATTTTATACATTTGTTTTCTTTTGGATTTATGGATTTTATAGATTAATTTTTTGTTATGGAAGTAAAGAAAGAAATTTTAGTTAGAGGGTGGATCAAAAAATTGATAAATTTTTTTTTATCTTAAAATTTTGTCATCTTAAAAGATATAATTTTAATTTTAAAAAGCTGCAAATTTTTTATTTTACATTTAAATAACGCGAATAATAATTCTTGATACGGAAATTTATATATCTCGTCTTACAAGCATTTTCCTACAGGAAAATATGACTCATATTATTATTTGGGGCATTCCATAGTAACTGGTGGGACATTTGACTCTGGAATTCCATGAATTGTAAGCTATAACTAGGAATTTAAATTGCGCGCATACGCGCGCGCTCTAATTCTGAACCAATAAGGGATCAGGGTCTATGTTTTTGAGTTTTTTCGATACTAAGCTAACTTCAATCTAAATTTCAAACAATAAGGAATCAGGGTCCATGTTTTCGATACTAAGCTAACTTCATTCTACCATCAATTTTAATATTTTTAATTATGTGACTGAAACTTAAACTATAGTAAAATTTATCTTATAATATACACGGAAAAAAATTTCTGGGAAAATTTACGATACAAATATTGTAAAGCTGGACTATACTTTTATTTCTATTAATTTTCAAATATTTTAGAAGAAAATTTACTATTTATTCATGAAATTTTACAACTTACGATTAGAAAAAATACGATATTACTATTGTAAAAAGTAAGAATTAAAATTTCCAGTGCTGCCTCTGTATCTTTCCAATAGAACTATAACAAATTTTACAATAGTTGAATTGAAATGTTTGTCAATTAGTGTGAGCGATGGCCGTGCACAGCGCTAGACTCCGAGTTTATGTAAATGTTAAAGGACGTTGGTACTAGTTTACCTCGGATAGCGTAGAGGGAGAGTCTCTGGCTGCCATCAAAGAATTCTGGGTTCGATTCCCGGATAGGACGAAAATTCCGATTTCTTTTTTCGGTTACTGTATTGGTACCAATTAGTCCAACCTCCTATCTCTCTCCCTCCCTAAAATTTCTTTTAAAAAAACCGACTGTCAATTTTTACAATAGTTGAATTGTAAAGTTTACAAACACATATTGTATAATTTGCTCTATATTATTCGACTTTTTAAGTTTCTTGCTAGCCTTGCTTGTTGGATAAAATTTACAATAGTAGATCGTAAAAATTACTAAATGAGAAGTACAGTCCACCGTTACTATTTAATTTAATAAAAATTACGATAGTGAAATAGTAAAAATTCCTTTAAGTTTTTTTCCGTGTAGAAGAATAACTATTAAACAACATTCCTTTGTCAAAAACCTCGATTACTTTTTAAGTTTCTCGTAATTATCATTTGACTGAGTGTGACTGGTGGGACTAAGAAAAATCCTTCTCTCTTACCAAAGGTATACTTAAAGTCCAATTTCAGTTCGACCACTAAACTTTTAAAAAATACTTCCCTCTCAATACAAAATTAATCCTACAAACATTCAATATTATGAAGAATTAGACTGATTACCTACGTAGAAACAATTAAAAAAATTTTTTTTATTGTGACTGGTGGGACAGGCATTTGTGACTGGTGGGACAAGTACAAAATGTCTACATCAAGTTGTTTATTAAAAAGATTTTTATATTATTTCAACCTTAGAAACATTATTGTTCACATATTTAACTATAAATTATTTAGGGTAATTAAAAAAAAAAACTAATTAAAAAACACAAATAAAGGATTTAGCATACTGACAACACGATCTTGATAAACTTAGGTGTTAATTAATAACGAACATAAACAAAATTTGTTCTTAAAACTATAATAATAAATATGTTAGTTAATAACAAACATAAAATGAATTTGTTCTTGAAACTATTAAAACAACATTTGACCCGGATACAAGTTAGTACGGCTGAAAAGTTACTAGGAGAGAAAAATCGATTTTTTTATTGATGAGAAAAAATTTTCTTTACAAATCAGTAGAATATAAACTTGTAATAATAAATTTGGACTAAGTTAGAATGAATTTTTTAGAAGAGAAATTTTTAAATTTTAGTCATTTTCCCATTACGCATGAAATGCCCCAGAAATAATTTACTGTGTCATTGAATAATTATAACATGTGCATATTACTCATAATAAATTTACGGATTTTGTATTACAACAATTCGAAAAGTCTGTTCAAGTACTGGTACTTTACTTTATAGCCAGAATAGCAATGAAACTATTTTTATTTAATTAGACCTGATAATTTCATAATTTATTTTACTGTACAATAATTATTTTTATCATACAATATAATACCAAAATTCTCTCTCTTAAACCGATTAAACGTCAGACGGTCAAAACTGTCAGCGTAATTACGATTAAAAGTCTCATAAGCT